GACGACATTGACGGGGACCCAGAGCTGCGGCTGCTGGACAAGGAGCCGGAGCTCTGGGTGCACACCGTCGACAAGCCCGTCAGTATTACTCCTCTTATACTCATTAACTCATTAACTTTAACTCCTTAACTTATACTCATTAAAATTAAATGCTTTTTGTCCCGTGTGATCTACTCTAGTCACTAACTCATTAACATTAATTCATTAACTTATACTCATTAACATTATTAACATTAACTCGTTAACTCATTAACATTAACTCTTTAACTTATACTCATTAACATTAACTTCTTTTTCTCCCGTGTGATCCAGCACCTGGGCTTTTATTGTAGCGCAAATTATTAATATTATTATTGACTTGTTTGAAGTGATATATAAGTCAGTATAACTCCTGTTATACTCATTAACTTTCACTGCTTTTATGTCACGTGTGAAGTATTGAGCACATGGGCTTTTACTGTAGCGCGCAACTTGTTTGAACGGATATATGGTATAGTATTTATAGTATATATCTTTAGTTTAACGTGTAGACGTATAGTATTTATAGTATATATCTATAGTTTAACGTGGCATAGATCATTTGTGTGTGTGACTGTAATATATTTCCTAATGATGGCTCGTGCTTTATGCTGCAGACGCTGGAAGGCCTCACAGACAAACAGGTCAAGAAGCAGGAGCACATCTACGAGCTCATCATCACTGAGAAACATCACTGTCGCATGCTCAAAGTTATGCAGAAGGTGCGTTTATTACTTGAATCTGCTCTCTTATTTTTATTTGTTAATTCGGTATAGGTGGTGTTTGCTTGTCATTCATTATAGGTTCACTTAGGAACAGTTGAAGCTGTTCTCTATTCGACATAATATGTTCCTCACAATGGAAGTTTATTCGAAACCAAAGACCGCGCTCATATTCCTGACAATTTCACCAATTTCTGGCAATTTTTACTGAAGGAGACGTTGAGCTAAACTATTTCGTCGAGATGCCCAACTCGGGAGTTGTGCAAGTTTACTACTCGTTGCTGTGGGCACAGGTGTTCGTGGTGGGCATGTCTAAGGAGCTGGGCATGACAGCGGCCAGCATACGGCGCGTGTTCCCCTGCCTAGACGAGCTACTGACGCTGCACTGCAGTTTCTTGTGGAGGTTGCGACAGCGGCAGCGAGATAACCGCTACATCGCAACCATCGGGGACCTCCTGCTGGAGCAGTTCGTGGGGGACAACGCTCAGGGCTTCAAGGACGCCTACGGGGTCTTCTGCTCACACCATCAGGACGCTGTGAGCCCCAGCAGCCACGGCAGTCGTGGTCCTAGCTCTAGTGTCGTCTGCCCTGATCTGTTTGTTGATTATTTATAATATTATTCCATCCTTCTTCTCATGGAGTTGACAAGGAACTGAACTTCGTTTTATGTGCAAATTCTTTACAGTCTTTAAAAATGATTTAGAATCTAGCCAAAATTTCTGAAAAATTTGAATATATTTAATATTTCTAAAAATTTTGAATTTATTTAATAGGTATCTACAAATTTTTAAATATATTTAGTTTATCCAAAAATTTTGAATTTATTCAATATTTCCCAAAAATTTTGATTACCTTCATTATTTTTAAATTTGAAATTGGATTTGTATCGCCCGCAGGTGTCGTTCTTCAAGGATCTTTGCAAGACAGACCGCCGCTTCAACGCCTTCATTCATCAGCGCTACTCTCACCCTCTCATGAAGAAGAAAGGCATCCCTGAATGTATATTGTTCATGACTCATCGCATCACAAAATACCCTCTCATGATAGAGGCCATCATCAAGTATAGCAGAGACCAGCAAGAAGAAACCGCCACTCTCCGCAGAGCTCTACATAATATAAAGGTAAACATGCAGCTTGGGTAGCCATCCGCCTAAAGACGGAACTATTTTGTAGAGCCTAGGAATCAAGTGCTTAGTTACATTTTATCCGTTCCCAGCCTTCCTTGTGTCTATTTATTTTTCGCTTGCTACTAATCTTATGTGAGACGTGCCCTCGCAATTCGTTTGAACCAGACGCCACGATATAGTACGGTATGCTTCGTAGAATAATAATAATAATAATTCATTCCCCGTTAGCAATGGTGTGGAATCTTGTATGGATTGCCTATTATAAAAGTGAACATGACCTTAATTGCCCTGTTAAATTTTTGCACATTTAACGTGACCTTGTCTCTGAACACGCTTCATTGTACTTAGCTNCCGACAACAAGGTACGTCTCGCCTGCACGTCTCTATTACTTCGTCACCCCCGACAACAAGGTACGTCTCGCCTGCACGTCTCTATTACTTCGTCACCCCCGACAACAAGGTACGTCTCGCCTGCACGTCTCTATTACTTCGTCACCCCCGACAACAAGGTACGTCTCGCCTGCGCGTCTCTATTACTTCGTCACCCCCGACAACAAGGTACGTCTCGCCTGCACGTCTCTATTACTTCGTCTCGCCTGCACGTCTCGTAGTTTTTTTCTTAAATAAATAATGTAGGTACTCAAGATCGCATACATGTCCCCAGTCCGGCGCGGTGAGATTTCACTCGCATACATTGCACGACATTCATGTACATTCCATCAGCTGCTAAATATGTACGAAATGCGGAACATTCAAGCACTCGTCGTATCATGTCTCTTTTTATTTATATTATTCATATATGTTAAACTTCTAATAAATAACAAAATTGCCAATAAATCGATTAGATCTTATAAATAAAGGAACATCTACAATCATTCATATTAGCGCAACTTTTATCGCTTCTCAGCCTGCGTTTTACTGCAATGTTTTGCATGGCCCGCAGGCTGGTGCTATCCCCCTGGAGAAGCTGCTAGTGAGGGAGAAGGCCGGCGACAACACGCGCACTAT